CAGGACTGGGGGACATGGGGCTTCACCCCTGGCTGTACCCAGGGTGCTTGAACCTGTGCCCCTGTCCTGCAGCAGCCCACTGGTGCTGATGCTGACGGGGGTGCTGGTGCTCACTGGCCTCATCTCCATCGTCCTTATAAGCGGAGGGAGCCACTTCCAGGACCCCTTTTACTGTGGTGAGTGTGTCCCCCCCCTTGCTGTGGGACCTGATCCCATGCTGGGGCATGGAGCACAAGTTTGGGAATTGGGAAGAACTGTGGGACCCACTCAAAACTGGCTTGCTGCCCTGCAGTGTTTGTGCTCTTCTCCTTCACCTCCGCTGTGGACTTGATCATCTCGCTGGAGGAAGATGGTTTCATCTCTGGCTTCGTGGAGCTCTTTGTCAGAGAGGTACCCCCACCCCTGGGGCAACCCCCCTGCTGCTCTTGCTGCAGGGGAGCATTCCTGGAGCAGCCCCAGCTCCCGTGGGGTCTTCTGGGGAGGGGGTGTGGGAAGACACCTGCCCCTTTCCCAAATAATCCCGAGATCTTCCTGGCGGGCAGGGTCATCCCTACCTGCGCACGGCACACGGCATCATGATCTGTTACTGGGATGGCATCGTCCACTACGGGCTCTACCTTGCCATGATCACAGCCATCAGCCAGAGGTGAGCAGGGACAGCAGCAGGACAGGGGCTGCCAGGGGGGAGCACCCCGAATTTTGTGGGGAGGGAAGCTCCCAGCCTGGTGTCTGATCCTGATGTCTCTGCAGGAAGAGCTACAGGAGCCTGGGTCTCTTCTGGCTGGGCTCTCTGATGATGAGCATCATTGTTTTCCTGCTGGGGAACCTGATAGGTATGGGGGTGCAGAGGGGGGGCTCTGCCAACCACTGGGGGACACTGAGGACATCCAGCCTTACTGGTCCCTCCTTCCCTGCCTCTGTCTGGTGGGTTTGTTCCCAGGCACTTGCTCCATGGGCAGAGGAGGAAGGGATGAGCTGTGGGTACTGGTCCTGGGTGCCAGTGTTCTGCCATGCCCATGCCGTGCTCTCCTTCCTCAGGGAAATACAGCTCGGAGCTCAGCCCTGCCTTCCTGCTCAACCTGCCCTACGTCCTCATCCCCATCTGGGCTGGGGGGAGGCTCTTCCAGCAGCCCAAGGCCCTGCCCTGCCTCAGCCCCGAGAAGGTGAGCCTGGGGGCTGGAGCTGGGGCTCTGTAGGAGCTCCTCCCGGAGCCTTATCCCAGTCCGAGGCTGGACCACAGGGTCGTGGAGCCCAAAATCCAGGGTTTTCCCTCCCTCTCCCAGGTGGCAGAGGAGCAACGCAAACACCTGTACCAGCGGCCGCAGGACGTGGGGCTGATCCTGGTCCTGCTCCTCACCGCTGCCTTCACCTTCTTCAGGGGGATGGTGAGTCCCTGCACGGGGGTGTCGGAGGGGATGTGGGGGTCCTGGGGGTGGGTGTATCTGCTCCCACCCC